CTTTTTTTTGTTTGGGCCCCGCCCCGCCCACTTCCACCTTCACGTTTTGTTCCTCCTCCTCCTCATCCTCCTCCTCCTCCTCCTCCTCCTCCTCCTCCTCCTCCTCCATCGCCTCCGGTGTAGCTCGCTTCTTGCCCTTGCCTTTGCTTACCAACGAAAAATCTCCATCGCTCTCTTCCCCGTCGCCGTCCTCTTCTGAACCTCCCCCGCGTCCTCTTGCCTCCGAACCCGCGTTCTCCAAACGGGTCTCTCCACCCCGTCCCTCCATAGCCCCCGCTTCCTCCTCCTGTCGCGCACCACCCTTTGCGCCGCCTTCCTCGCCGCCACCTTCCCACCACGGCACATCGAACTCCTCTTCCACCACCGAAGTGACCACGTCACCTCCCGGCCGTGCCCCCCCCGGGGGGGGCCGCGTGATCACCGACCCAACGGGAGGCATGACCTTCCGCAACCGGTACAAGCGAGCGTACTCGACACGTGCGACGGAGAATATGCGGTCCTTCACCAGGCGGACGGCGTCCGGTATCAGGCCGGCCAAGAGGTGGCGGCAGTGGTAACCCTGCCCGAATGCGCCAGCGGAGGCGTCGGTATCCGACAGGGCCAAGGTTACGCGCTCTTCGCCCTCCCGCCGGGTATTTCTCCCGCCTGCACCAACTTCGACACTGCCTTCTTCGCCAACAACATCACCAACATCAACGCCACCACCGACATCAACACCACCACCATCAACATCACCACCAACAACAACAACAACGCCAACCCGGCGAGCCGCGTGTTGGCCGTCTTTTCTTAGGTTACCCGGAAAGCCAGTCGCGGCGGCCACAGAAACCGGGCCGTCGCTCTCGAGCCTCGAGCGGCGGCGGCGAACCATAGACGCGGCCCCCGGGGGAAGACACAAGAGCCGAAGGGGGTCGATGTCCTCGTCGGGGGGGCCGGTTCCGGTCCCCCTCCCGGCGACCCCAGCGGCGGCGTCGCCGAGAGCACGGTCGGTACCGGCGTTATCGCCGTCTCGCCCGACCGCTGCCATGTCGACGCCATCCCCCCCATTGTCAGCCACCCGGCCGCCGCTGCTGCTGCTGCTGCTGCTGCTGCTGCTGCTGGTACCGTTGTTGACGCTGGCGCTGACTCTGGCGTCGCTATTCCTGCTGCCTGGTAGGACCGCTCCTTGCGGCGAGAGAGAGAGCTCTGCGGAAACTGCCTCGGGTACAGCCGTCGGGGACCTGCCATCTGTGGGGGGGGGGGGCATTCCACGGATTCGAGAAATTCACCCCCGGACGGGCCGGTCGATACATAGGCGGAGCGGAACAAAGGTGTGCGTGGCACCCTTTTGAAGGGGGGGGGGGGGGGGGGGTCCGAAACATAGCGCACCACAGCCTCGTGAGCACTCAAAGTGTATACGCGCTGGGGGAGTCGCGTATGTCACGGAGCCCACCATGGGGGCGACCAATGGAGTAGCCTAAACACGACTCCTTCGCCCCAACACCGCGCCCTCACGAAAGGAACGGGTCGGGAGGGGGGCTTCGGAAGGTGCGACAAGTCCCAGGGATACCTGACTGCACCATAGCGCAGACCGAAAAAAACTGTACAGCCTACATGCAGCGCCCGGTTCTCCACCGAAACCGGCCGGGCCAATCTTTCCCCTCCATACACCATACCTCCCTTCAAAAACAGGCACGAGCATTCGACGTAAACCCGCCCTACTCTGGCCACAAACGTATGGCGCCGCCGTCGCCGCCGCCGCCGCGTTCGCTCACCTTCGTCGTTTCCCTCTCCTTCTCGTCCCGCCCTCTGTCCCGCCCCCTCTTCCTCTTCCTCCACCCTCACGGTGAAGGTTCGGCCTCCATCGAGGGTCCAACCCTCCTCGCGGAACACCGTGAAGGTCAATGCGGGGCCCCGGGTGGCCAGGGGCCGACCACGACGACGCAGGCTACCCCCCTCGAGCGGATCCAAGCCCCGCGTCTCCCCCTGCCCAGGTATATATAGATATATGCACACAGACGAGCACCCCACACGGGTGGGATTTAGCCACGTATCACACTTCAGGCGGGTAACGCCGGCTTCAAGCTATCCAAAATTCTCCGTGGTGCATACCATCGTTCGTTGTGTCCTTGCCACATTTATCTCTCTTCCTATTGCACGCCAGGACATGAAAACGACCGCAGCAGTCTAAGCAAAAGCAGCCGGGTTCGTGCGCACCAGGCGCGCATACAGCAGCACACCAAAACACACACGCACGCACACATATTTGCATACGAGAAAAACTAACTCTCGGACTGGCCTCAAGACTTCTCCGGTCGGGACGACGAAAACAACAACGACGTGCACACACCTCCTTCGTCGATGCTACAACCTTCCCACCACCGCCGCCGCCGTGGGTGTCCTGACCGTCTACCCCGCCCCTCCCCCCCCGCCCCGGTTCCCGCGGCCGCCGCCGCCGCCTCCTCCTCCGAAACTCGAGCCGCCACGGGAAGTGCGCCTCCTCGTACACGAAGTCATAGAACCGCTCGCGTTCCGCCTGGCCGGCGGGTTTCACGCCGCTTCCCCGCCGGAAGCCCGCGACCTTCCGCGACCGCGACCACACCGCCAGCCGGGACAGCTCCCGGTCCATGTCCTCGCGGCTCGCCCGGCCCGCCTCCAGGCGAACACGCGGCTCGGGGAGCAGGTGGGTGAGCTCGTCGCCGGGGCAGAGGCCCGCCAGCTGGGCTTTTCCTGGCCGACCTAGCGGGTTTACGTCCATTGCATATTGGAGAACGGGGGAGGGGGCGGGGGCTGGTGTATCAAGTGAGGTAGTTAGGTGGGGGTGCAAATGAACTTGGAAGGGAGGGGAGGGACACAGGGTTGGGATTCGGGCAACGTCCCGCCGGCTGTGGCCTTTTCCGGCCCCGAGTTCGATGTTTGAGCATTGGGGTCACGGGGGGCTTGTGGGCGCGTGTGCTATAGGCGTGTCTTTCGCGGGTGGGCTACAGCAGAGGGGTGCGGGAGGGTGGGGGCAAAGAGTTTGGGCTCGGGGGAGCTGTGGTCTGATCGCGATGGTGCTGCTGTCGTGGAGCAGTTTCCTCGCCGTCCCGTAGATTTGAGACGTTTGCCTCGTCGCTACCACCATCCCGCTACACCACGCGCAGCTCGATTGTCACAGGCGTGGGTACATACGTGGGAATCATCACCTGTCGGGGGGGAGAAGCCGACGCTTGACAGGAACCATCGGCACCAAGGGAGGGGCTCCGTCCCCGTCGACTCGGTCGCTATCCCTGACCAAAAACAAAATTCAAGAGAGATGGAGAGAGAGAGAGAGAGAGAGGAAGAGAGAGAGAGAGAGAGAGAGAGAGAGACAGACAGAGGCAAAGCCACAGAGAGACGGACAGATATACAGACAGACAGAGATTGAGAGAGGTTGGGAGAGAGAGAACCAGTACAGACAACACAACGACCACGGGCGCGTTCCGGAAAGACGGAGGGGCATCCCAAGTCAAACACGAGAGCGCTATCATGGCGAGCCACCCCAACAAAATCTCAGTCGATGTCGTAAGCTCCTTCCCGAAAACGTGAAGAAAAAGAAGGACAACCACCCCCGAGAACCACCCTCGCCTTTCCCGGCCCCCGTGAACCCGGGGACGGGTTCCTCTCGTCCCCTGATCGGGACCGCCTCCAGAGAGAAGTCGAGCTCGCCCCAGTCCCCTTCTTCTCTCCCGCCCTCCAAGAACACAACTCCCTCCTCCTCCCTCTCCTCCTCCTGAGCCGCAAGTGACCAAAAAACAAAAGAGAAGAGAAACGGGTCAGGAAACAAAACATCAGTGTGTTTGCATGTCCGAGGTAGAGTGATGGAGAGAGCAGGGGGGGGGTGTCGCATTCCGTGACCAAAATGACCCTTGCAACGAAGCCGCACGCTCCGGGTTAGCTTGTGTAGGGCGGGAATTCGACTGCCATCTGTGAAGGGAATACATGGTGGAGAAATACTGGACACTGGACACAGGTGAAGGAGCGGTTTCACTGTGCACTTCGTGACAACGACCGACAACAACATACCCCGCTTGAAGCTCGGTGGAACACAGCGCGACAATGGGGAAGCAAGGTAGCGGGGCCGTGGGCAACGCCCCGCCACCCAGCACGTCCAAAAGGCAACAGCAACGAGCATACTCCGTCGTACGTATTATCGGTCGGATGGCGGGTGGCGGTGGCGAGCACAATCTCTCCTTCTCTCAGAGAATAGCCATTCTCTCTCTCTCTCTCGAGAAAATAATACCTCCGAGGAAGAAGAGACGATAAAGCTACAGCATCAATCTACAACAGCAGCAGCAGCAGCAGCAGCAGCCGAAAAAAAACACCAGGACCGTCCTCGGCGCATACCTAACATTTACGCATACCTCGGCTCCGGCGCTACAGGCACGCGACCTCGACGTCGACGCCGCTGGCAGTGGTGGCGGCGGGAACCGCCGTCGGTCGGAGAGGAAGGAGCACGGCCGCCCGAGATGCTGGCACCTCCTACACTCGGGAGCGGACGCCGTCCACGTCGCCGTCTCCTCGCACCTTAGCTGCCGACACCAGCAACACGAAAAAATACACCCATCCGAGATATCGTTTGGTTGATCAAGAAGATGGGGCGATGGTTTGCATGATGCCTTAGCTGTTAGACCAATAACCACGCATGATACTGAGCTATGTCATTGTCGGTACTACTAAGCGGTTAGCTGTCCGGTGCGGAGAATATTGTTGGTCGTCTGTTGTTCAGCGATAATAAATACCGTTGCCAGCGCTGTGAGATTTGTACGTCGAAGGTCGTACGCTATGTAGACGCAGCGAGAGACGTTGTTAGGCGGGATGAATACTAAGAGGGATCTATCCTCACCATCTCCGAGAAACAGCTGTCGCAACACCTGCTCCCGACATCCTCGATCGACGCGCGCTTCCACGACGCCGCTCGTCCGCCTGACAAAGGGAGAAAGTTGGCCAAAATCCGGTGCCACATGAATCGGGGTTTGTAGGGGGTACGAATCAGCACTTGGTCAACGTCAAAGATGTGTAGTCGATCGACGTCAAGGATGTCTCCTCTGTGGACGTCCATCTCGACGCTTAGGTCCGTTTGGTGCAGGGGAGCGGAGGGGAGGCCAACGAATCGCAATGCGGGCCACAGTGAAGGGGGGGGGGGGGGGGGGCATGACAAACACATGAGGTCCCACATCATGGCTTTCAGAAACGTGTTCCTTTTTAGCCGTAGAGAGACTGGCGTCTCGTCATCGGTCACCCGACAATAGCGTGACTGATGCAAACAAAAAGAGGGTCACATTTTGCTTCTTCGTGTCTGACGCAAAGAAAACAACAATCAAAAGTGGGACAACGAGCGGTTTACTTCCTCGTCTTCTTGACAGCCATAAGCGGCAAAGAAGGAGTCGAACATTCCAGTATTGGCCCCTTGTCCCCCAATACCTTCAAAGAAATGCTGCTCCAGAGGTATGATCGCTGCCAAAGCTGGTGTACATGATTTCGACACGTCAAATGTAGCCTCCAAACCTTCCAAGGGCCACAGGTCACCAAGGGCTACTCACGGGGTTGCGAAAGACCGTCACAACTCGCCGCGCGGTGTTTTCAAAAACCAAAGCAAGCAGGTTCTTTACGCAAGGACAAACAGGTGGGCCGACGGACACGCGTTCAACCCCCCCGACCCCCTGCCAAAAAGTACCACGCCACTCATATTTCAACCATTGAGCCGGCAACAAACAAACAGCCGACAAACCTGTGGTGCTCGACACGCCGTCTTTGGTGCTCGACGCTCCGTCCCCGACGCCACCACAAACGCCTCCTATCGCATCCTCGCCCTCGTCCTCGTCTCCGCCGGCGTCGCTCCCCGCCGGCTGCTGCTGAGCCTCGCCGCCGTGCGATTGCTCCGCGACCGACACCGCGTGCTCCTTCTCTCCCACCGCAGTGGGCTCGTCGTCGCTGTCGCCATCGCCGCTGCCGCTGCCGCCGCCGCCGCCGCCCGTCCAGTCGGTCGTGGCGTGGCTGCGGCCCCGAGCGCCGGCATTCGGATCTCCGACACCTCCGACGCCGGATGATGATTGGTCACCGCTGCCTGGCGCCGCCGCCGGAGATGACGTAGATTCCGTGCTCGCTGCCACAGACGACGGAGATCCCGTGGTGGCCGCCGAAGGCTGCGGCGTCGGAGATGACGCAAATTCCGAGCTCGCCGTCGCCGAAGGTTGATCCCGGGCCTCCCTCTGCGGCAGGGGAAAATCGGATCCACTCTTAGCAGTCCGAGCAGCAGCACCACCAGCAGCACCCTTGAAAAAGGAAAAAACAAACGACGAAATATAAGAAAGTCGTGTCATCGTGTCTCGCGAGCAGCTAAGCACTGCTGCTGCCGTCATGGACAACCCCAGTCCGATGAGTAGGGCGTTTGTTCGTATACACACGAGCAGTGCTTTCCACCATAGCGACGGAGGATTCTACTACTTTCAACACCAAACAGAGCGTCACACATGGCGATTTGCTATCTAAGTTACCCATGTTTGCACGCACGAGAGGACATGAACTCTCGTTCGGACCACAGAAGACTGATCGACGACCTTGCCTATTGCCTATCCCCGACGCTTCAAAATATGTGCCCGTCCAATGGACGATAGTATGACGATACACGAACGGCCATTTACATACTTTTGAAATTTGAATTTCGGGGTTTGGCGTCAATATGGAGTGGTCTAAGCTTTCATCCCTTCCTCTCCTTGCCGTATCGCGTCGCTCACCCTGTTTGCGGCAGACAACTGCTGTTCTTTCTGAAGGCCTTGCCGTCCCTGGTCATCATGTCGCTGTTGCTGTTGCTGCTGTCGTTGCTCTTGGTGAGCAAGTAGTGGTGATTGTCGTTTCCCCGCCAGGTCCTCGTCTCCCGCTCTCCCTCCCCCTTCCACACCCAGCCGCTGCCGCTGCTGCTGCGTCTCCCCGAGGGTTGCTCGTGTAGCGCCCAGCAGCAGCCGCTGGTCGCTCCCGTCGCCGTCGTCACTCGGTGGCTGCTGCAGCGGCAGCAGCCGAGGTCGTGGCGGTCGGGGACGCTGCACGACGTTTTCATCCTCCCGCTTCGGCCGTCGTCTCTTCTTTGACCTAGCGCGAGCATCGCTTCCAGACGCCTCCATGCCTTGCAGTGCACCGACTGCTGCTGTGATGATGACGATGATGATGCACAGCAGAGCGTGCTGGCCTCGCTATGCCTTGCTGTGCGTTGTGCATCGACGGGTTGACTTCACAACTCCAACTTCACGCACGGGGGGAGCGCAGAGCGAATAGTTCGTATTCAAGGGGTATATGAAGTTTGCCTTTAGTACTATCTGCGGCTCCCCTATCTCAACCGGGGCGCGAATATTTGCAATCCATGGATTATAGAAGAGAACCACAGTCCAAACATCCAGACGGATCGAAACCCCGGGAAACCGCCCGGAGTGTCCCCGAAGAGGTTCTTCTCCCTCTCCTATAAAAGCAGCGATAATCACGGCGGCGGAGAGCCGTCTGAAGGCGGCGACACGCACCCGCACGCTGGGGGAAGACGAGGAGACAACACACAACGATAACTGGTGAGATCCCGTCCCGACAGGCGTCCGTGCATCCTCTGTGTCTGTGCCTCACCCTCACCCTCTCTGTGATGTTTTTTTTGGAAATAAAATAGCAACGGCCGCACCCGCACCAGCGCCATGTGTGTGTTGGTCTGTCTCCTGTGTTGCAGCCTCCCTCATGCTGTCCCACGTGTCGATGCTGCTCTGTACCTGTTGTTGCCGTCGTACGTACGTTGGTGATCATGTGCCTGCACTGGTGTGGTCAGGCCAGGCCAGGCCCTGCCTGTTGTCCTTGCCGTATAGTCCGGAGTCTTTTCTTCTGGCTGCTCGGCTGTATGGTGGTGCTACAGCAGTGCTGGGCTGGTAGAGGTGCAGGCATTGTGCACGCACTTGCCCAACCCCTTAACTTCATGTGTCTACCCTCCATGTTCGCGTCGTGGGACCCGTGGCCTGCCGTGCGGTAGTGTCATTGCTAGGAATGCTTCCATCCAGTGCTGCTCTGTCGGCCTCTTACGGTGCTCGTCATGCTGGCGCTGCGGGAGCCTTTGCGGGCTACCCTGTACAAGCCCACCCCGTACAGCAACAACAGCAGCAGATATTGACCACCAGCCCTCCGCCGGAAACGCAGGCGAGACGGGTTGATGTTTGACAAGTGCGGTTCGACGTGACACCGGCAATGTTTGTTCCGTGGGTGTAGCACGCCAGTGGATTGTCGCTGCTGTGCTGTACCTCGTGCCTTTCAACGCGTGCACGTACGGTTCGCTGTTTTCGTGTACTCAGCGGTGGACGGCGAAACGTTTCATTTGTCTTGTCTTGTGATCAAACGTTGACATGGTGTCCTTCCATTCCGCCGCGTGGTGGGTTTCGCGTGCGGTTGCAGGCCATGCTTTCACCTCGCACTGGTCTGCCGTTGGGAACTCCGGCCCCTGTGGGTGCTCCCGATGCTGGGGCCGCCGGAGGTTTTGCGGGCTACCCTGTACAAGCCCACCCCGTACAGCAACAACAGCAGCAGACATTGACCACCAGCCCCCCGCCGGAAACGCAGGCGAGACGGGTTGGTGCTTGACACGTGCCGTTCGGCGTGACACCCGACAATGTTTTTTTGTGTGCTTTACTTGATGTTGCTGCTGCTGTTCCCCTTGGCCCCATGAAAAGAGCACCGGTATCTGGCATTCCCCCGGTCCACATCAAGGCTCCCTGTAGAGGCCCTGCCATTGTTTCCGTGGGTGTAGCACGCCAATTGATTGTCCCTGCTGTGCTGCACCTCGTGCCTTTCAACGCGTGCACGTTCGGTTCGCTGTTTTCGTGTACTCAGCGGTGGACGGCGAAACGTTTCATTTGTCTTGTCTTGTGAATCAAATATGGGGCAAGGAAGATTGAACTCGTTGGAGTAGGTCTACAGTGGCTCCCGTCGTATCCCACGGTTTGTCATGGTTGGTAGTCATGATGCCGCATGACGAACGGCCCTTGAAGCGTGGTACTGCTGTCGCCTCCACATTGTTACCCTGTTTGTCTGTGACACGCCACTTATTTTTGTGCTCCCGGCTCTCCCATACGGCGCAGGTCATGGGATGAAGCCAAAAGAGGTGACGAAAGCAATGAAGGCGTTGCACGAGGACAGCGACATCGACATCAACAAGCGCGCGGTGCAGAACGCAGCTGCCATTGTGCACGGGGCGGAGAAGCCGAGAGATGCTGCCGATGCGTACGAAGAGGTGTGTCCATGTGTCCGTTGAGACTGTTGCCTCTCTTGTTTGTGTGTGGGATGTTGGGTTTTGCTCAAGGCGGTATCCGGGCGACAAGACACATACGATCGCAGGTGACAACCGGGAGAATATATGCCCCATGACACCAAACCAAGAAATGTTGGAGGTAAAAAATGTGTGCCGTGCCGTCGTCGTGGTTTTGCGCTGATGCCCTCGATGTTTCCGGGCGCTTAACATGTTGCAATTTCAGGTCATGGCCGCGACGGCCGACGGCGGAGTGTGCGAGATCAAGATGGATGACAGCGGCCGCCTGACGCACATTCTGGTGGCGAAACGAGAGAGCAGGTAGGTCGCCGGTCGTTGTGCCCCATACGAATATTCCCCAGCCGGAAGGTTTGCTTTCATTTTAGCATCTCGCACGTACCGCTTCGCCGTCCGCAAATGTAGGACGTCTGACCGAAAGCACGCCGTAGGCAAGGGTGGGGGTGCGTTGTGACGCGTCCAACACACGTCACACCCACAATTAAGTGCTCTCGATCCCCTTCGACGTCATGCTCCGAATACGCAGGTGGCGCTTTGGAATCGGTACGGTCACGTTGCGCTCTACGACGACACCGCTGTCAAGAACAGATACCGTATGCCTCTCGGTGTGCTCGCTGTCGTCGATTCGGAGTATCGGACGCGGATCGTCGGCCAAAGCATAACGGCCGACACCACAACGGACACTTTCCTGTGGATGTTGAAGAGTGCGTTGGAGTCTCGCGGGAAGCAGCCGGATACCTTCATCCAGGACGCGGACGCGGCGATGACGGCGGCGGTGCGAGAGGTGTTCCCGGACGCGCTGGCGAGGCGCAATTTATGGCACCTCAACCAGAACGTTATCAAGGCCCTCGCTAAAGTCCTTGGTGGGTACATGAAGGTGCGCTCTACTGTGTGTGTTGGCGTGGTTAGTCTGGCCTCTCGTATTGTCCTGGTCGCGCGACGTACGCTGCCCACTCTAGCCCCCCTCCCCCACTCCCGCTTGTATCCCCTGTGCGAGTTGGTGCGTTGTCATGGATCAGTGTCGCCTACTTGGAAGAGTGATATCCAGCGTCTCTGCGTAGACCGTGATGCGGAGACGACCTCGGCTTCGACGGAAACATACCTCACGACGTCCAGTGCACACAGAAAAAGCAGCAGCAGCAGCAGCAGGTTGTAAGCACCAATGGTATGTCGCTGAGTTTTTTCAACCCTCTCCTCGTCTCGCCTTAGCGCTAACGAAGTGTACGGGGTTGTTGGTGGCAGTCAATCGTACAGACCGGTAGCCCATATCGCAAAGGCCCCAACTCACGCAACACCCACCCGGCCCACGTCGTTTGTGTTTTCCGCAGCCTTTCATGGACGAGTTCAGGTGTGTGCGTCAGCAGCTGTCATTGGCGAAGTTCGAACGGAAGTTCAACGCCCTCATCGAAAAGTACCCGAAGGCGGAGAAGTACATGCAAGTAGTATATGACGACCGTGCACGGTGGGCGGAATATGTGTCGCCCCTGGTGTTCTCCGTGGGTTCGTGGACGACATCAAGAGTTGAAGGTGCGTGTATGCGTCATCTGCCATCATGAGCGTTTTGTTCGAGAACGACAGCGCATATATCGTTGTCGTTGTTTTTGGGAGTTTTTCTACGTCTGTAGGGGTTGGGGGCGGCTATCTTCCTTGCCCCCTATTTACTATGCCATTGGTGAGTGCTTCTGGACGAATTTATCGTACGCCGTCAGTGGATGACCAGTAAACAACTCCCTACATGACGCTAATGTTTACGACCTCTTCGAAACATGTGGCTGTTGTCCGGCCCCTGTTGTTCGGGATTGATGTACTTGGTCGGTGCACTGCGATCGTCCGGCTCACGTGTACATACATCTGTGGCGATGGGTGCGTCAAGTCATAGGCTTCTCTTTCAGTCGTTTGGCGTACTGCGACTTCAACGATGTCTGATGACACCAATCACTAACCTACGGTTTGGTTTGTGTGTCGCTTCTTGCGTGTTTGTCCGCCGCACACACAACAGGCCAAAACGCCCTCATCAGGGATAGGTGCAACTCGCGCTCCTCGCTTTTGGACGTGGCGAAGTACTTTTCGGGCATTCATCTGTTCCCAGAAGGATGCCGCCATGCTGCGTGACGCAATCGACCATCTGCCGCCTAATCGGATGGCGGCTCCACCAGCGACCGCTTTCAAGAGTGTGCTCGAGTCCTGCGAGTTCTCCATCGCGGGCTGGCCGCGGCGGTTCATGGAGCAAGAGATGACCGCGGCCATCACGTTTTGCCAGATGGGTGGTGGGGAGGTGGATGGACCAGAACGCGCGGCAGCTTCGGGGCGCACGTTCGAGTACATCGAGGACAAGCTTTGCGACGCCATTTACGTCTTCGGGATTCACGAGCAGCGTGATGACAAGGCCTTCGACTACCTCGTCTTGCTCTTTTCCGACGGTAGCCATCTCTGCCAGTGCCGCACACTCCAAACTCTCAGGCTATTTTGTCGCCATGTGTGGGCGGCGATGATGTACAGCCCCCGATTCAGATTCCACGTAGGCCTCCTGCACGAGCACTGGCTGACGGAAAAGGCGAGGGGAACACCGCAGCAGGACTGGCCGGATGTCGCCCGCCCTCGGTGGGTGGTATCCAACCGCCACGCTGCGAGAGAAGTGGACGGGGCGGCGGGAGAGGGAGAGGGAGAGGGGGTGGGGGGATGCAGCGGGAGGTGGAAGTCTTTCGTTGGGAGCAGCCAGACGGTGCAGACGGTCCTGTTGGACTTGAAGGAGAAGGGGCCCACGGACCAGGATAGACAAGTGTTGTACGCCGACGTAACGAAGAAGCTCGGGCAAGCCGCGAGTATTTTGTCTGATCGCTTTTCACCGACAGTCGCCGTAGCCCTCGTGGACCAATTTCTGACGATGGTCAATGTGCAAGCAGGCGGGGTAGGAACTACAACGACGGGAGGGCGGGGGGCGGCTCTCTTCATGGCCAACCCTGGAACTGTTCGCCTGCCCGCTAGGACAAGTAATAAAAGACGACCTGGCGCTGCAGAAAGATACACAAGAGGGGGTAGCAAGAGAGCCGCGACTTCGGGGTCCCAACTCTAGTTTCGGTGTTGCATACTTTGGGGTACGTGAGTAGCGGTACGCGGCCCTAGGTTTACGACGTCACCGGGGCATATGCCTGAACGATGTTTTGTCCCCCCCCGGCGGCAGGTCAAGGCTCGGTGTGTTGTTTTTTTTTCGCTTCGGCGTTTTTGCGCCGATCGCCGTCTGTGATGTTGTCGATTTTGTGTTTGTATGTCTATTTGGTTGTTGCGGTGTAGCGTTCGATGGGGCCATCTGGTTCCTGTCCTGTTTTTATTTCTTTTGTTCCATTTCCTTTTCTTTTCTTTCTTCCGCCCCCTTTTTTGCCGTGTTGGGGTCATATCCAGGTCCTTTCTTTTTTTGGTGGGGGTCAGTCTATCATCAAATCGCTGTTGGATATTGATTGTTCTGTTTTGTTTTTTTCTGCGTCTATCTGTGCTTGTCGACCTGTGTGCTCTGCGAAGAAAACCGTGTGAGCCGCGTCTCGAGTTTGTTGAGCGGGCCTGCGGTGTGCGAACTAAACGATGCCTACAGATTTTGACGGCCCCATGATGACTGACATCCATCACGGCAGCACCGTGCAGCAGGTTATATCTACCAAAAAAAGAATACTGCTGTATGTAGTTCACAAAATCTACAGCAACAATTGCTTGCAGCAGCAGAAACGCACAACAACAGCAGCACCACACGCGGATAGACACACACACAGAGAGAGACGAGCACTCCTCTAAGTACGGGGCGTTGTGTGTCGTCGTGTCCTCCTGTTCCTCTGAGGCCTAGCGTCTCCTGGGCATCCCGGGTGCGAAGGGTGGCCTTGGCGTGAAATATGTGCCAGTATGGCAGTATGGACTGTTGAGGCTGTTGCTGCAGACGAGAGCTCTGCTTCCGAAGACAACGGGCGTTAGATCCAGGCTCCGAGATAATATTGAATTTGAGAGGGAGAGAGGAGAACCTCTTCGGGGACACTCCGGGCGGTTTCCCGGGGTTTCGATCCGTCCGGATGTTTGGACTGTGGTTCTCTTTTATAATCCATGGATTGCAAATATTCGCGCCCTCTCAACCGCCGATCGTGCGATGCTTGACCGGACCAACGTTCAATCTTACGGCTCTCCATCTCCACTTATTCAACAAAGGGTGCGCCCCAGGTCCATAACCTACTCAACGGCAGAAGGGCGGTGGCAGCAACAAGCAAGGGGGGCTTCACGAACAGAAAAGAGCGTGGAGGGGGGGTTGAATGTATGGAAACGGCATCCGCGGCATATACGGGATGTACATGGCTGACACTTCTACCCACGAGATAGCCGCAGTCGGAGGAGGAGGAGGAGGAGGGAGAGGATCAGAAGGAGGTGGCGGGGGGAGTACGGCCTGGTTCTCCTTCTCCACCAAGTGAGTTTCGCTCTTCGTGGTTTCGGCAGGAATCCGAGTTGGATAATTACATGGCGTCGTTCGTCTGTTGGCGTTTGTGTATGTGCACCGGCTCTTCCTTGTATCCTCTCTTGCTGTACAGCCACCAACTTACCGCTAGCGTTGTTTCTCCGAAACTCTACTACACACCCCAATTGGCTTCTTCTGCCCATATCGCCGTGCACCCGTGCTAGCAGCACTGGCGCTGGCAGTTCTGTGACTCGTGTGTCAATACTGGTGCTGTGTTTCCTGTGGATGGAACCTTGGTGTGTGTGTGCTTTCGAATCAATGGGGCTCTTGCGTGCGTATGCATCCCTTCCAACGGCAACACAGCACACAAGCTAACCCTAAGCCCACACAATCGCTCGCTGCTTCTACATGGCGTTTCAACCCGACAATACGCGGTTCCCTCGTGTATGTCAAAGAGACATATCTGACATAACGCAAAGCTCTGCCGTGCATTTACTTATTCAAGTTGCTTTTTTTTTTTTTTCCGGCGACGGGCAACGGTTTTTGCGAATTTTTGCGGTTGCTGCAGCCAGCCGGCACTACTCTGTGTGGCATCGAACACGTGTCTTCGCGATCGTAGCTGATTGTTGTACTTAGTGAATTAGTGTTGATTGATTTCGTATTCAGAACCAACACTTGTCCCTCGCATATGCGAAGGTAGAAGTCCAGGAGTGTTTCACAGCGGACCTAAATGTTAATGTTCAGGCACGGCGCGTTGGACTCGTCCTCTGCTTATGACCCAACTGTGTTTGCAACACCAGAGCAGTGATATCTCCCCTGTCTGACAGGCTGGAGACGTTTTGACGGTCATCCTGTGTTTCGGACTGTTGTGGATGATAGGAGGGAATAAACCTTGCCCTCCATTTCTAGACAAGATATCTGGTTTGCCTCCCCTTAGCCCCCGACCGGAGGCAGCGTGTTTACGCTTGGCGGGTTCAGCATCATTGGAGTCCAGAGCTTCCGCGAGGTATCAATCGCCCCTTGCCACGCCTCCAAAATACGGCCCTCCTTTCAGCCTAATCTCCCCTCCGTTCCTTCACGTCGCCCCCCCCCCCCCCCCCCCCCATGGCAGAGTATAAAGGAACGATTGGCCATCGATGATCGATCCTGTGGGAACAATGCTCCGTCCTGTCGAGGACGCGTGGTCGATGGTCTAATAGCCGCTAAGGCATGAAAATGACGAGAGTACGCCCCACCCCCTTAATGTGTTTTTTTGTTCCCATTTAGGGCGGCTGAGGCCGGAGCGGAAGGCCATGGCTTCCAAGGCGGACAGGCTGAAGCAAAAGGCGTTGTCCGTGGTGGACACGGTTCAGACGCTGTCCTCAAGCACCGACAGCAGCAACTCTTGCACCATCACGGTCAAGGTGGGTGAGAGGGACAAACAATGGCGGTCGTTCTTGGGAGGTGGTGGTCACCTCGTGAAAGCGCTTCACGAAGCCTTGCTTGTTTGTGCGCGCGTATCGCTCTCGCCGGCAAAAGAAAGCCTACTTTCTGCGAGGCAACACCGACTCTTCCCCTTGCTTGTCAGCGCACTACATCGTGTTGTGTTTGACCCCGGATTCCAACGTGACGTCGTCCACAAACATCCTCAGTGAACAGGGAACCCTGGCCATACGAGAGAGTCAATGGCAGGGCGGCTCTCGATCTGTTGAATTGTTTGTCTCTTGTTGACGTCATTGTCGAGGATGGGCTGATCTGTGTCATCCCTTGTGCCCATGGCAGTGATCCATTTTGCCGGTCGTCTCCTGACAGGATTGGTACACATAGCCAGGTGCTTGGTGGCAGAACAAGCTACGACCTGCTGTCTTGCAGCCTCAAAACGGTTAATTCGGCAACAGCAGACCGCAGCAAATGACACGCCGTGGTTGGCATTCAAACACTCGTACTTAACACCAACCTTTGCCAGTCTCCTCTTTGCTTCGACTACTTAATTTCCCCCGTACTTCGACCTGCTGCTGTTGCCCCGCCTCTGCTCGCCTCTCTCTCAGAGCTCTCCCCCCCGCACGGCGGCGGAGATGACGAAGCTCTCCGTGAGGCGCGGCTGGATGTTCAAGAAGAACAAGCAGGGCGCGTGGCAGCGGCGGTACTGCTGCCTCGTGCCGCACACCTTCCTCTACTACTTCGAGTCGAAGGACGCTGAGGTGGGACGGACGCCATCCGCTCTATTTCATGCTACACAACGTAGACCAACCGGTAGCGGGGGTCCCCGAACACCGCGGTCTGAATAAGGTGGTCGCCCTACATAAGGCGGTGGTGGCGTAGACGGAACACTGAAATTTCATGTACACAATTGAATAATGCGGTTGCCCCGCCAATGCCTTTTTGGGGGACCCCCCCGCTGTACCTCCTGCTTGCTGTACCTCCTGCTTGCTGTAGATCTCACGCCTCTTCCTCGTGACTAAATAGCAGGCCAAGCTATCGAAATTTTGTGCGCCTTTCCTGTTTGAGACGAGGAGACTTGGGGGGCCACCTCGAAACCAGCGTTCGATGCCCCCTTGCTCTTCGCCAGAGCCCTGCCCTCCTCTCTTGCGGTGCAGTACGACCTTCTTTCGGAGGCCCAACTACTCTTGTTGTACATGGTGCAAAGAAACAAGCGAATATAACATGTTAAACTAACGTGACCAACAACCCCAGGTCCCGAGAGGGGTCATCGACCTAGACCCTTACACCAATATCGGGGTGGACCAGAGGACCGGCGCCATCGTCCTGGGACCCGGGGGGTCGTGGACCGTGGCAGGGCAAGGGCTAAGGAAGTTCTACTTCAAGCCGGAGGAAAGACGAATGATGAGGACGACAGCGGCGGGTGGGGCCGGCGCTAACGGTACCGCCGTTGCGGAGGCGGAGGGCGAGGGCGGGGGCTCCGGGGTCGCGAAGAAGGGGGACGGGGGGGGGGGCGAGGTCCTCGGCGAGTGGCTGTCCGGGCTGCACCGGGAGCGGTACAAGGTGGTCCGGGACGAGCGGGACGCTTACATGAACCTGCAGGTGCGCGGAGGGGGAGAGTGCGCGCTCGTGTCGTTGCTTGCGGATGTACGAGTACATTGGACGTACATTCATTTCGAGACGGGTGGCTCGTTTCATTTTTACGTGTGGGTGCATCCTTTGCTGGAGGAGGTGAGCACGGCCTTGGTCGTCAGACTCTTGCCGGCATCGCACCGCACTTTTGTTGTTGCAGTGTGTTGCTTGGTGGGTGATGGCCCGCTCCTCCCGCTTTTGGTATTTGCGTATATGCGTCTGGTACTTTTGTTTGCGTCAGCTGTGCTGACCGGCCGACGGATGAAGAAGGCGTCAGTTGATTCATAGCGGGATGAGAAACATGTTTTCTATTCCGCATGCTCCCTCGACAGGAGGACCGCTACGGAGACTGATTGGACTGCAGAATATGCGTGTTTGCGTGTGTTTGGTGTGCATTTTATTCTCTATCGCTCCAGACTAGGTGCTCCTTTCGAGCTGGCTCGTCCCCCCCCCCGTTGCGGGTCTCCTCTCTATGCTATAAGCAGCGCCAGCTTCTTTGATAGCTGGCTGCACACAGCAGGACTTCTCGGCCTTGCTCTACCCGTCAGAAGAATGAGAAGCCTGACCGCCTACGCAGGATTTTAAGAGTATCTAGAAAAATAATAGGGAGGGGGCACGTAGACCCTATCCCTAACCCTAACCCTAACCGCAAAGCGCGGATCGAATACTTTATCCCATATGTTTGGTTATTCAATTTTGCTGCGTAGACTACTGCAGAAGCTTCACCTGATCGGACACTAGGCACCCCCGTTCATCACCCCCCCCCCCAGACGGTCATCATGTACCGACTAGGCATGCTGGTATGCACCTGCATGAGAGTACCGGCTGGTTTATTGTACCGGTTTTATTTCTTCCCCACCGCTACCTCTCGTTGTTTTTGTGCCCCTCGCAGGAAGAGTACATGTCCCAGATGCAGGACACCACGTCCGCCAAGACAGAGGCGGAGAAGGAGCGGTGTCGGGTGCTGCAGGGCCTCCAGGCGGAGCATGCGGCCGTGAGAGCGGCCGCCAGGGATGGACTCGAGCAGGTGCACTTTTTTTTTTTGTCAAAAAGAGTTCCGTCACTACGTTTTTGTCGCCGGAGTTGTTCTTTGTTTTTTTGGCTTTGCTCAAGTCTTGGCAGATCGGAGTGGACTCGAGTTGGTAGAAAATGGCCGTAGATGTGTGTACATTTTGTTTTGTCAAAAAATTGTCGTCGCGATGTTTTTTTTAGCCCTGTCTTGCTTCTTTTTTTTTTTTTCCAAGTCTTGGCAGATCGGAGTGCTACGTGTGCAACGCGGCAGTGAAAACGACAGGTTGTTCAGCATGCGCGGGAAAATACGATCGAAAAATGTACGCAGGCACCCTTTTGTGTATGTACTACTGCTGTTTGAGACGTTTAAGAACCAGTTGGGAGGGGAGAATTACCTATTGGGAGAGAGCTATGGCGGTGGTGGGCCCGGTTTAGCGGCCCCAGGTGCCAGGAGGGAATATGGCCGCTGCGTATTTTATCCAACCCGAATCTTCACCGCACAGGCGCGAGCGCTATTCCGGGACGAAGAGCTTCCGCCGGAAGATGCGGAGTCTCTCCCGCTGCCGGCGCTGCTGGCCAGGGTGCGGGCCGTGGCGTCCGATCGGCGGTGCCGGCAGACTCGGCTGGAGGTGGAGCTCGCCGCCGCGCTTAGCGCTCTCGCGGCCGCCAGGAATGAGGAGGGGGAGAGCCGGGGCGTCGCGGAACAGCTGCGTGCGGAGGCAGGGGAGGCATCGGCAAGGTGCGGCGGTGGGCGGCCAACAAATGTCTTCCTGGTGTTGTTACACAGCTCGCATCATTTGTCACACGAAAAGCATGGGGAGCCTCATACACGTTTCTAACATAGATTATTTTGGGTGGTTGAGTCATATGCGTCCCCAAAAATGAACGTGACGAATACCCGAAACGAAAACAAAACACACCCAACTATAGTCCAGACGGGTGTACGCGGTGGCCTTGGTCTGGCTTGTATTTTTATTTTTATATATGGAGTATATTCATTTAGTTATTTTGTGTTTGTCTTCGCTTCAGATCAGCGCTCACAGCACTTGTGCCGTTTCTCTCCAACCCGTGGTGACACAGAAGGGTTCCCCCCTACCCACCCCTGCTGCGGTACTTTGCCTTCGATTTTTAATGTAGCGTCACGTGTTTTGTAGGGACGAGCTCGTCTTTTTTTTCGTGTACGTGCGTTTGGATGAGAGAGGGCATTTTGGTCGATCATCATGGTGTCGCTTCTGCTCCCGTGGCTCGTGGCGTTTCTCGTGTGTGTTGGCAGCCATGTTATCGTGCCACTTTTTTTCGTATCAATCGTGGTGTCCCGCGAAGGGCAGCTGTAGCTGGTGTGTATCACCTTCCTGGTGCCTCGCTCCCTTGTCGTCGACCTTACCTTGGCATGATTTGTCGGTGCCGTCCCCGTCTTGCGTATGCGCTGTACCGCTTGTCCATGCGCGCGCGACTGCGCTGTCGTGCTGTCTGTCGTCATGGATGGCAGAGCCACGAATGCCGAGGCTCGGGTAGAGCGTGCGGAGGAGGAGGCGACTCGCGAGAGGGGGCTCCGTGCGACGGCAGAGGCATCGCTAGAGGCATGCAAGGACCGCCTCGAGGTGTGCTTTGCTGCTGCTGCAGCCGTCACGTGGCGCTCTTTGGTTGGATTTTGTTTCTTTTGTGGGTGTTGTCGGGGAATACGTGGTATCCCTCGCTGCTGTTGTCGTTTGTTGGTGCCTGTCTTGTTGGTGTTCAAGGCTCACGCCGTGCTGGTGTTTTACCTAGAATCGGCTTTGTACACGCTCTCGTCCTCCGCCTTCTCGTCGTCGACCTCACCTCTGATGTATCCCCCCTCACCTGCTGTTGCTCGGTCGTGATCGCCAAACAATGCTGTTCGATAGGCGATCATGGTGGACGTGGAGCAGGGTCAGGTGAACCTGGGCATCATGGCGGGGGAGAGGCGCGCGGCGGCCGCGAAGGCCGCGGAGCTCTCCGAGCAGAAGCGGTTGCTGGTGAGCCCGCTCGGCGGTTGTTGTCTTGCTTGTCACTTGATTGTTGCTAAGGCGGTTGTTGTTGTTATTGTTGTTGTTGTGCTCTTGGTGGTGCCGCTGGTCTTCCGTGGCTTAAAGCTCTGGCAGGTGTGTGGCAAAAAGGAACGTGAAACAAGACAGCAGAATCGCCCTGTTTGGAAATGTAGGGGCCATTGGACATTTCACGTTTATATCCGATTGCACCTTTCTGTAACAGACTAGTGTTCGACAAGACGTATACCGAATACCGCCGATATTCCTCCAAGGCGGTGCTCGCAACGTGCCCGAAAGCGCCATTCCTATTACCAGCAAAACGCGACATAGCAAAAATGCGTTGTTGCCCGTTGCTCCCCCCCCCCCCCCCC